AATTTTCAAAATTCGTTACCTCACTTCTGCTCTTGTATTGGCGGTGATAAGGTACAGCTGACCACAGTATAATACCTCGGGATTATATTATACTGCACTATAAATTTCGCTGGCCGTTTAAACACACTTTGTAGCACTCACTATTCAGAAGCACTCACTGTTCGGAAGCTTATAGTCTAGGAAAAAACTATGACTAGCTTAATACTACTAACAAATGCTGATTTCGAAAAAAGTAGTAGCACTAAACTTCCGCGTTTACTGAATAATTGAATTTTCCTGGCTTGGAAAATTTAGAATTTCTTTTCTTCGGCAGAAACGTAAAACTTGTGTATGACACGTAAAATAACTTGTGTGTGAAACGTAAAACAACTGGCGTATTTTTCCTTGTTTCTTGGTGCAGAAACTTTAATAATTTTTGTTCACTGGCGCGTGAAAACTTAACAAACTCGTAACAGGGTACGATCGCGGGTGTTGACGGTACTACCCTTGTCGGTGAGAGACTGCGTTTTACTTTGTATTTTTACTAGTTTCTTGATGCAGAAACTTATCTTTTTAATTCACTGGCGCGTGAAAACCTTAACCGTAACAGGGTACGGTCGCGGGTGTCGGCGGTACTTTTTTTTCTGAGGATGGTAAAAAAATCTTCTTAGACGCCTGGTCTGTTGTTCTAGCGACCGAGGTGTGCCGGATTCCTACCGACTAAAAAAATTCCACCCTATTTGGTTGACAAACTGCACTGGAACTGCTCACGCATTACTTCGGCGCAGATGCCCCTCTTTACGTTAGACTTTGGTCATTCTTCAACCCTCCGTTGATCCAGCTCCTTCTGTCGTAGATTTTTTTATATAAACGCCACGAAAGCCTCCCATATATCTTCGTCCTCCACAATAGATGGTATTAGGTTTTCTTTTTTAAAGGGTACCTTAAAAATTCCTTTGATCTTTAATCTACCTGGTTCCCAGGCCGAGCATTCAAAAATGGTATGACTAACATCGTCGATGGCACTGCTGCAATATTTACAGGTCGCAGTAGCTCTTTACTTGAAACGATATAAATAATGTTCGAAAGCTCCGTGACCGCTAAGTATCTGGGAAAGATAATAGTCTACCTGTCCATGCTTTCGTCTACCTGTCCATCTTCTTATATTCGGGATTAACATATGTGTCCATTTTCCACCGTACGCCTCATCCCATCTTCTTTGCCACAGTTGATATAATATCTCCTTCGCTTCATTTTTGATATCAGCCTTATCTGTTCTTCCTCTAGTTTTCTGATCATATATATATAAGCCCTTTCCTTTACTACCAGGTCTATTGGTGGTATACCTGCGATTACGAATACCACTTGTTCCGCTACAGTTCTGTAGGCAGAAACAACTCTCAAGGCACTCCGTCGCTGAACTGATAGAAGTTTCTGTTTTTCTTTTTTAACCTCCAGTGCCTTTGCCCATATTGGAGCGGCGTACAAAATACTGGCGTGGACCACTTCATTTAAAAGTATCCTTTTCTCCTGCCTTGGACCTCCGATGTTTGGCATTACTCTTGCTAATTTAGCCACTGTTGTCTGAGCCTTTACCACTACTGCATGTATGTGTTCTTTGAAATTCAGCTTTTTATCAATTTGCACTCCCAAATACCTGAGGCTTTTGGACCATTTGATTTCCGTCCCATCCAACACAATCTTTGGATACGTAAAAGATCGCTTATCCGTTATCAGTACAGCCTCTGTTTTATGGACAGCCAGTTGCAAATTTTTCATCTTCAGCCAACGGTGTATTCTATCTAAACTATCGTTTACTTCAATCTCCAGTTGTTCTGTTTTACTTGCCGTTGCCACAACAACAATATCATCTGCAAATCCCACTATATCTGTGTTTTCAGCCATTTCCAGTTCCATAAGCTCGTCATAAAATATGTTCCATAGGAGGGGTCCTAGGACCGATCCTTGGGGAACTCTTTTTTCTCTCTGCAAGATAGCTATTCACCATATTTTTCAGATATTCTGGGAAATCTTTTCTATCCAAGGCTTGGATAATTTCTCCCTATCTTGCAGTATTGAAAGCATTTTTGACATCTAAAGTTACTAATGCACAATATCCTTTATTTTTCCAATTCCCTTCCTTTACACTCCTTGCAATGGTGACTACTCAATTGATTGCGTCGATGGTCGATATGCCTTTACGATATCCATACTGCCGATGTGATAATCCTCCTATGCTGTCTACATGGACCTCCATTCTTTGTAGTATTAGTTTTTCCAGGAGTTTGGCACTGGTGTCTATTAGGCAGATTGGTCTATAAGATGACGTATTCTCTATTGGCTTGTTGGGCTTGGGGGTTGTAGAAGGACCAAATTTTGCTGCTTCCATTTGTTTGGGGTGTCGGCGGTACTACCCTCCTCGTCGAGAGACAGAGTTAGACTCTTTTTTACACCCGCAAAATGGTCAGTTGTCCAGGATGGTACGTGATGTACGTGACTATTTTGCAGCCACCTTTTCTTCTGGGAATCATACTTTCGTCGTGACTTTCTCTTCGTATTTTAGGGTGTTATTTAGGTTTTATTGGCGGGAATTTCCGAAGGAGTATATTTTTATAACTTGCTTTGTTCGCAACAGTCAGGTTTATAGACTTTAATGTCAATGTCGATATAACTGACGTGCATCAGAAAATGTTTTGCGATTACAATAGATAACTTACTGATAGAAAACAAAAATAAATTAATTATATAAAGAGTTATTATTTACATCAACAAAACTCATCTCCTTAACAGCACTTAACGGACATAAAAGGCCATTACTACCGATTTCCCGTTCAAAATATTCTAATAAAGTCGCGATTTTTTTTACCGCTATTCTAACCGCTAACTATCTTGTACACTTCGCACTATAAAAGGTTCTAAAAAGAACAATGTTCGACTGCAAGGTCTGCTGGTAAATATTTTTAAGCTTAATGGCAACACTATTTATTTAAACCACAAACTCGTAATACAAAACTATAATGTCAGGACAAATAACAATGTCAGGAAATAAATAAATAAATGTTGCAACTTGGCATTTTTTACAGCAGAGCTACCACCTGAATCCCCAGCGAGAAATTTAAATTCCTGTTAGTCACCCGGTGTCATATACAGGGTGTCCCAGGCTGAGCGTGCATTAGAAGTTTCTAGAGAACTACAATATCTAGATCAGAGATTTTTTGCATATCACTGTTTTACAACGAGATCTATTGATTAAAAATATTTTCAATATGGCGGCACTTCCGGAAATACCGGAAGTTGACAGCAACTTTCTTATTTTAAATGGGTACCCCCATTTTTTATAAAATATTCAAATTCTCTCTAAAATTTCGATATGAATTTATAAAAACTCGCTATGAATTTTGATATTAAACACTCTATACCTAACATTAATCGTTTTTGAGAAAAAAAATAGTTAAAATTTTTGAACGAAAAAACTTCCTGTCAAAAATATGTGTATAGCCTAAACGTCAAATTTACTGATTACCACAGTCACTGTGACATAAAAAGAAGACATGTGGCTACCCATTCCAAAAATAAAATTGTTCGAACGTCATATAATAATGACCGCAGCTGTCATGGAATTGAGCGATTAAAAAATTATCATAAATCATTTTTTTCAAATGGAAACCCACTTTTTTTATTTCACTAGTGAAAAGGCTTTTCAATTTATTACTTTTTGACTATGAATATTCCTATATCTGAAATAAATTGTTTTTAAGTTATTTAAGATTTAATTTTAAAGCGTATATTTTTCTTGATTTTAACCAGTAGCCTATGACTTTAAACGTCAAGTGATGTAAAACAATAATAGATCTAGACATGTCATATTGTGACACTGTTTAAGAAGCAATATGTTATCGATCATCATTTCCAAGCCAACTCTGTTTTTTTTTCGATCATACGGTATATTTATTATTAATAATATCAACTATTAGATATCACTAAAGAGCGAAAATATTAGATATATTTTTGTAAATGCACTTTTTAAACTTTTAAGCAGGCAATATTTATAATATATGAAATTCAAATAATTTGTTTTCTGACAGATGGAAATAAATTGTCTGACTGTTTGATACTTAATGTCAAAGGAAGCTAGATAAAATCAAGAAAAATATATGTTTTGAAACTAAATCGTAAATAACTTAAAAACGATTTATTTTAGGTATAGGAGCATGTATACTCAAAAAGTAACGAATTGGAAAACCTTTGCACTAGTAGTATAAAAAAGTGGGTTTCCATTTGAAAAAAATTATTTATGATAATGTTTTAATCGCTCAATTCCATGACAGCTACCGCCATTATTATATGACATTTGAACAATTTAATTTTTGAAATAGATAGCCACTTGTCTTCTCTTTATGTCACAGTGGCTGGGGTAATCACTATATTTGACTTTTATGCTGTACACATTTTTTTGGCAGGTAGTTTTTTTCGTCCAAAAATTTTAAATATTTTTATTCTCAAAAACGGTTAATGTTAGGTATAGAGTGTTTAATATCAAAATTCATAAAATTTTACAGAGAATTTAAATATGTAATACAAAATGGGGGTACCCATTTAAAATAAGGAAGTTGCTGCCAACTTCCGGTATTTCCGAAAGTGCCGCCATATTGAAAATATTTTTAATCGATAGGTCTCGTTGTAAAACTATGATGTGCAAAAAATCTCCGATCTAGATGTTGTGGTTTTCTAGAAACTTCTAATGCACGCTCAGCCTGGGACACCCTCTATGTCCATGTTTGGAAACAATGAATCGCGTAAAAATTTATTAATTTTAAAAAAATGCTAAAAATGTCAAAAACTTTACATTTTAGTCATATTCTTTTCTAATAAAACTTTCGCTTTTTTAGCCTTTACTTTTTTACATAAGGTCACAAAATTTCACTCCATAAAACGACAAATTTTCGAACTTGAATATTATATTTTATATTGATTTATTTAGACTTATTTACCAATATAATTTTATTGTTTATTTTTTTCAGATGGAATCTACTTATATGCTACAATATCCTGATCATGCTGTTGAGATCAATAAGTCAGATATTTGGTTGTGTTATAATTCATAACATCACCCCAGCTTATTGCAGTATATTTCAGTACGTAATAGCGTCGATTGAAAGAATTGGGAAGATACGCAAACTAATGGGCGAATACGTGGCAAGGCTGATTTGATTTCCCCTTGCCTCTCAAGTTACAGGCAATTAGATGCATATGAAAGCATCAGAATTAATAAATGTAAAGATAGTATGAACAGAGTCAACGGTCCAATTCCTTCAAGTTCTTTGTTCCTACTACTCTAGTGGCGGAAATCTAACTGTTACGCTCAGTTGGCTCTGACTCGGTTGGCTAGATTTTGCCACGCCCACTCGGTGCCCACTGAGCGAGTATATAAACGCTCAACTTGTAGATTATACTTTAGTTTATAATCATCTGCTGATGATGCTAACATGGTTAGCGAAACGCGCGTCCAGTGTAAAAGTAAAAGTGTTTTGGTGTATTGTGGTGATTTAGTGTTTTTATTTTGCTGTGTAACACCAAAGGTTCCAACCCTCAACTGTAATCGTCTCAAGTGCTGTACGGTGGATACACCAATCGTTCTGCGGTCAACGCATAAAACACTTATTTTCTCTAATTCTTAGGGCATATCAAGGACGGTGAGAAACTGAACGCGACAGTGTTGCCATATTAAAATGTGTAATATCTGTAATACGTTTGACGAAAATATCTTTGGATGAAAAATCCGCGTTTATGTATTGAAAATTTATTCGAGTTAAACATACAGGGTGTCTCAGATTTTAATCGGGAAAATTTAATAGACGATAGAACTTGCAAAAATAAAACAAAAAGTTCATGTGAACTTGTAAGATTTAAAGCTTCCTTTTCGAGATACAGGTTACCATTAGAATACTAATTATAATATTAATTACCAATTAGAATTTAATTTCTTTTGCAAGAAGAAAGCAAGACAGACAAAAAAGTCAGGAGACAAAAAAATAATATTTTTAATTACTAAATCCAAAAATAATATTAAACTTCTAAAAAACCAGTGGCGGGCCTATTTTTTCCTTTAAAATAATTTAACAATGATGCCCCACCGCCGCCCCTGGCCATTAAACTTAAATCTAATTACATCAAATTAAGTCCCGTAGTAAGTATTATAAACGGGTCAAGTTATATCAAAATCGATTAAATAGTTTTTCAAATATCTTAATTTATTTTTCTTTTTTAAGTAACTTTAACGCACTGTATCTCGAAAAGAAAGCTTTAAATCTTACAAGTTGATATGAACTTTTTGTTTTATTTTTGCAAGTTCTATCGTCTATTAAATTTTCCCGATTAAAATCTGAGACACCCTGTAGAATAAACAACAAAAATAGAAATTCTTTTAAAGGTATTGAATATGTCGTATGATCGAAAAAGGCCGTTTAGTTGGCTTGGAAATGACGAATATTGACATTTACTATAATATTTTACATATGAAATAACAGCGACCTTCATTTTCAAGCCAACTCTGATGCCGTTCTTTGTTTAATTATATATTATTATATTATTTTTTTTTGTTTAATGATAGAAAATCCGTATTATTAACGAACTGTATCCAAAATCCGCAAATCTACGGATTAATCAGTAGTTCTGGCAACACTGTCTCCGGCAACCACTTACTCACTCTGTCGACTGAAAGCAGAATTACGGTACAATATTCTTTATCCGCTGCGCTGTAAACGACTATCAAGGCGCAGCGGCGCAGGACTAAACTAAATCTCGGACAGGCTGACGGTAACGCCAGCTACATCTCGAACAGGTTTTGTGCCATAAAATTGCCCATAAGGTTGCACATCTTCTTATTTATTCAATGAAGCGTAATAGTATATAATAGTTATCTAATGTACTGACAAATACAGTGTTTCGTGAGTGCGTAGGGTGCACCAAAAAAAAATATTTTTTTTCTTTTTAGTTACCGTGAATAAATATCGTTCAGGATGATAAAAAAAATTCTCGTAAAGTTTAAGCTTTTAATAATAATATTAAGAGGTGCCTCATCGTGATTTTCTATTGTCCATTTAAATAACACTAGAAAACATATTTTTGGGGGGAATTTTATTGCGTTCTAACAAATCAGCGTTTTGTAAAAATCAATACATATGCTTGTAGGAAATTGAACGCTCTTCAAAAAAGGTCTAATATGAATTTTCATTTAATCGACTCGTTTGAAAGTTACTGAAGGTTAAATTTCAACTTCAAATCGTATATGATATCTTCCACAGTTTTTTTTATATTTTCTCACCAAATGGCTTAAAAACATAAAATAAGATATTTTATGTGTTTGAGCCATTATTTCGTGATAAAATATGATAGTTTGTGTTTATGAGCCAATATTTCGTGACAAAATATAAAAAAAATTGTGGAAGTTTCATATACGATTTGAAATTGAATTTTAACCTTCAATAACTTTCAAACTAGTCGATTGTAACAGTCAAATTTCCTCGCAACGACCTCTGTGTGCTAGCTCATAAATTATCGCAAATAACTATTATTTTTGCATCATGTTTACTATAATTTTATTGTTAAATATTATTTTATTTAAATTTTACAATTATGCAACCCGATATACACCGCGATATTATTCAACTACACATTATTGTCACTGATGCCGACCAGCAGTAGGCTTTTTGTCCATTTCTCTATATCTTTGATCATCACCTGTTCGTCACTTGTCACTGTCAGATCAAATCACATGTTTTTGGATTTATTTATCCTTCGTTTTGGTTATTGAAATTTTATAATTATCAGATAAAATTTCGTAGTTAAATTGGTTATTTTTGATGTGGATCGCAGTGTGCAAGTCGTTCATTTAATTGTGGGAATTTGTGAGTTAAGTTCGTTCATTGACCGGATATTGAATATGGCTGAGGAGAAAATATTCTAGAACATCGTTTTTTATTTATGCTTTTTTGTGAGTTGGACTAGTTAAGATATATAGTTCTCTATCTATATCCTGGAGGGAGATTTCCGGTTGAAATCTGATTTTATGAAGGAAATCGAATCCTTGCATCACTTCTTGTGTACTCCCCGACCGAGAATATCGTCGTGAAGAACTGGCTGCCGTTTCGTGAAGCATTCCCTGTTGGTGAATAGCAGGTCTTCGTAAAGAAGGATTAAGGCTTCCGAAACATATTTGGTCAGAGACGTGGTTGAATTTTGTTGAGTTTACATGGACCACCGACCAATTTCCGTAAGGTATTAAATAGCCAAATTTTTCCGACCGATATCCCGATTCCACGTGCCCAAGAAGTCCCCGAATAGTTCCAAGGTATGCTATAATTCTTCTGCCTATTCTAAGTCAATGCTCAACTGATTTTTATTCGTATTGTTGACTGGTTTTCGACTTTTCCACGCCCACGTGGTGTAGAAAGATTAGTTGAGTGTTATCTTTCTTAAATCTTATTTGGTTGTTCGTAATTGTAGAGCAAGAAGACCGATCCAGACCGTAGCACACAACAGTCCAGAATTCCATCCGTTTCTGTTGTCCGTGTAGAGGTACCCGTTGGATATCATAAACCCTCGTTGAGGAAAAGTTCAGATTTGATTAGTCCTTCTTTATTACCTTTATTAACTCCTACACGTTGTGCTAGTCCTTGTTCTATAATTGAGGCTTTTCTAAGACAACCAATATTATTTAGGGTTTTTATGTTCACCATTTGAAACCTCAACAACTTGCCTTTCATCTGTACGTCTGCTGACATCCGTGGGCTCCAGGTACCCCGAGCTGCTGTACACCGCCTAGCAACCCTGAAGCTATACGCCGTAGCTCAACCGGAGGAAGTTTTCAAGTATATCACATCAAGTAGAGTAAGACTGTTTGGATATTTGTATAATTTTAGATTTGATTTATGGGTATAAACCACCCTGATTGTATCTAGTATTAAGTTAGATAAGGGGGTTTGACGTCATAGGTTTAGTTATTACATTTAATTTAAAATTATATTTTCTTTTCCAACCTTTCGATTTAAATAACTTCTTAACGTATTACATTTTACATTTCATTCGTTTTTTATATATATTTAACTTTTTAGTATTTTAATAAATTGCTTAAATATTTTTAGTAGTATTATTTACAGTCTAGTCTCATAGTTAGGTTAGAGTTACTTAAGTACAAATATTTATAGAATATTTGAAGTTCATGATAGTTGCACTCAACAGTTCGAGGTTAGTGTTGAAATCTACTTGATAGTAACATCTTTTATGCCGAGTTCATAGAGAATAATCTCGTGGCGCCCTTTTATTAACATCTTTGAACCCCGACTACCCGGCTGTTAAAATTAAAAAGCTAGTGGCCTCTATGCAACTCATTACCGATTAAGTAAACTTGTGTTTTATTGAACTTCAAATTAGAAAGGGCGTGGCGAATTTATTAATTATGTTAAATCAATTAATGAAAATTTATATTAGACCTTTTTTGAAGACCGTTCAATTTACTACAACAACATGTATTGATTTTTACCAAAAGCTGATTTGTTAGAACGCAATAAAATTCCAAAGATAAAAAAATTGTTTCGCCGTGTTATTTAAACGGGAAAGAGAAGATTACGATGAGGGACCTCTTAATGTTAATAGCTCAATTTCAAATTTATTTCGTACTTTATCGTAAAACAAACCGTTACATACTTGATTTCAAAATATCCTTCTTGTTCGAAATATTTAGTCCGGAAAATAAGGGATTCCAGTAATAACAGCAAAATAAAACACTAATTCACCACAACATATCGAAACTTTTACATTGGACGCGCGTTTAGCTAATCGTATTAGCAGATGATTAAAACTAAACTAATATCTACAAATTGAGCGTTTATATACTCGCTCAGGTGGCACCGAGTAGGCGTGGCAAAAACTAGCCAAACGAGACAAAAATAACCAAGCGTAACAATAGAACATGAACAGAGAACTGGAAGGAATTGGACATTGACTCTGTTCATACTATCTTTACATTCATCAATTTTGACGCTCTCAAAGGCATCTAATTGCCTGTAATTTGAGACTTGTTTAATTAATTTTAAATTATTAATATCTATACAATGGTCTTTATCAACAATATGGTGAACAACGCAAGATTTATCCGGTCTACCATATATCTTATCTGAGCCATATGTTCTTTAAATCTAGTTAATATTGATCTTCTAGTTTGTCCAACATGTTTATGATTAAAATCTTTAAATGAATAATTTCACAGCGAAGGTGTGTTATCTTCAGGATTACATAATAATTGTTGTAATTTATTATTAGCACTATACCCAAGTTTATAACTGACATTCTTAAAAATTTATTTTTAACTACGGGATAACTCTCTATCAAACGGTGTTGAAAACTATTTTGACATATCTTTCTCCACTTGAAAAGTCGAATTTGCAGAAATCGCAAACTTATACCTACGTTTTCTAATAAAATTATTTTATCAACTAATGGAGCCCAGTCAAATTAGAAAAATCAGTGGAAAAAAATCCCACAATTTTGAAAATGGTTTTAATTGGTTACTCTAGACTTGGACTGATATGTGTCAAAAGTCCCCGAAGATAGACGATGAGCTCGAGGAGAGGGGAGGGGTTAAATGTCATTTTTATGACTTTTTAACTTATTTCTCGGAAAATATGACACCTGCGAAAAAATACCTACAGAAACACAGAAATCGAAGCTCACAAAATTCTCTACAAAATTGGTTAAATGTATTTTTTTCATAGGTCTAACAAGGGTCTAACCTCTTGAGAGTTACATAGTTTACAAAATTAACACTATTTCTCATATTGTATTTTTGCATTTAAAATCAAGTTAAAGTTTAAATTTAACCTTTCATATTAATAATGGTAATGTTAACGGGTCCTTATGTTATCTTACAAGTCTTCAATGCATCGTATCTTTTTGTCTTCCGTTGGAGAGTACTAGTGCACACAGGACTTAATAATAACTGCAAGTTAAAGATTAATGCATGCCTGCCTTACGGTAAAAAAAAGTATACCACAGCATTTAGCGCAGCTGCAAATATTGTAGCAAGTATACGAAAACCAGGAATCATGGTTTAAGGTCCATGATTGCTCAGAGTTGAAGATTTCTATCTCCGCTTGCAGTAGATATTTCTAATGTTACAGTAGCACGAAGCATTTGAGACATTAGCATTTGAGGTCTGGTTCCTTGAGATTGTATATTGCGATGATATTCTACATGATTTCTCTTCCTGTAGGTACAGTAAAGTTAACGTGTGTGTAATATTCACGTATCTGCAATACCCAATTCATTTCGCCTATATAGTATCAGTCTTCCCTCGCAGTCTTAAAAGCACAATGAAAGTGTGATTTCTGAATCTTCTCAACCTGCAATAATTGTATCCACATACATATAACATGTGTCCCCATACTTTAAAATTGTTTATATTATTTTCTGTTTTAGACAAGTAATTTGTATTCAATAAAAAAGTGATTTCAATTTACTATTTTTAATAATGCATGTATTGCTTACTTTTTTAATTTAGTAGGTCTTTCAAATTATTTTTTAATTTTGTACAATTTCGTATAATATATTATAAAACTTAAATTGCAAAAAATCTATCTTATTAAAGATATTTGAAGTTGAAGAAATTGAAGAATTTTATGAAGGCATTTCTTATTTCCAACACAAAAATTAATTGAGAAACATAATTTACTACTATTTTATAAATGTATTATTATTTATTTTGTTTCTTTAACATATTATGTACATAAGGTCGGTTTTGATTATTTTAATTACACAAAAACATAAAGCAAAATAAATGAATAGAAAATAATATCCATATTAACAAATAACTTGCGCAGCCAAGGAGTGATTTATGTGAACGCATCACGTCTAAACTTTATAAAATCACAGTATATACTAAAAGTTATACTTAATACTTAAAAAATCATAATATCGTACTTCTTCAACGTTATTTGAACGAAAAACGTGCAATGAAAAGAAATATGTTTGTACGGATTTGGAATATGCCATTTGTTTTAGAATCCAAATTTATGAAGAGCATAGATCGGAAACCATAAGTCCAGGAACAAAAATGTATAGAATTATTTTTATAGAGAATTTTGTCAGCTGTATTTTTATATATAGAGCGTTTTTCGGTAGATGTCATGGTTTCCGAGATATAAGCAAAAAGTGAAAAAATTGACATTTAACTCCTCCCCACTCCTCGGCCTCATTGTCTATCTTCAAGGACTTTTGACACATATCAGCCCAAGTATAGAGGAATCGTTTAAAACCATTTTCAAAACTGTGGGAATTTTTTTCACCGATTGGCATTTTTTAACTAATTTGACTGGGGTAATGAAGGAGAATACCATTACACTCAGCCACATTCCTAATGTAATTTATATTCAAATACATCAAATACACTTGGACGCAGCTTGGATCGTTCCAACTGATTTAAAATCGGTTGATACGATCCAACTGGTGCCGAAGTGAGACGCGCGCATAGGAAAAAAAAAGCTTTATTATTATAATTGCAGAGTACTGTCATTAGGATGTGTAGACAAGCTGGGATCTTACAGTATATCTGGACTAGACGATCATACCCATTGTGACTTAGAGAAAGGTGGACTGGGTGCTGGCTGGGACACGGCTTGCTTCGTCTTCCTCATTTTGCAGCAGAGGGTCTTTAAATCGTACTACTTCTTTCATATTGTCAACGATGCCAAAGCGGAAACGATCATAGCCGATCGGGGTAAGCCTTTTTTTTTGGCAGTTATTTTTAATCATACACAAGTTACAATTATCGTTGTACTTATAGCGTGTCCAAGAATGTTGTAAACATAAATAATAAAATAATTACATTTGTTTATTATTATTGATAAAAATATCTGTATTTTGTCAACGGTAACTTACGGATACCGACGATTGTCGATGCCGTGTACAGAATAGCGCTCCAGGAACACGTCGATGAAGTTTTTTTCGCAAAAAAGATGACGAAAATACGAAAGCGTCCCAAGTAGCATTTGGACGTTATATAACATCGGGTATACGTCGCGTTCAATAAACCCGACGTCGGGTACCAACGTCGGTTCGACTGCCTGACGACCCTTATTTGCACCTAAATGGGGAATACAGATTCGGGTCGCCTCGACGCAACGTCGGTATTTGACCTAATAGGGAATGTAATTCTAGCAATTACCAACGTCATATCTGACCTAATAGGGAATGTAATCCTACCAATTACCAACGTCATATTACGTTGGATTTCAGTTACTTAAAATTCGTCGCTAAGGACTTACGTTAAGTTTGGTTTTAAATTCGATACCAAGAATACATAAAAACCTAACCAAACTACCTAATTACAATTGGATTCATAATCACTGCTCGAATATATATATATATATCATATTATAATAATTCTGAATCATTAATCCAGACATCAGATTTGTCAACGGAAGTCACTTTTTTTATATATCTGATTAAAATACTCCGGAAAACAACGAGCGACTTCAAAATTAGGTAGATTTATGAAATAAAAATATCTATAAAAAAGTAACTCGCAAAATATTTTTTTTTATTTTCTAGCTGGTTTAATCATAAAACTGTACTGTGGTTCCCCCCAAACTCAACCTTATCAATATTATTTTACTAGAAATCGGAATGTGAATATAAATTTTAAAAACAAAAAACGATTTTAAAATGGCTGACAATCGGATACTTGTTAAGGCGGATTTCTGTGTCCGACTTATTATGAACTAACAATATACCAATTCCGACCGGGTCTTCAACATTAGTTGCCTCACACGACTGAAGTCATCAAAGCGGACGACCGGCAATCGTATTATGACGTATATAATTACAACGTACGCCACGTAAAATTTGCGATCGGCCGACATACGTAGGAGCATCCGTCGTCGGCCTCAGAGCATATTATTTTTCGTATTCCTGGTAAATGATTCCTGACGTTGTCTGTTATTGGTCTATGATAGGTCAATTGTTTGTTGTCAAAAAATGTTTGAGGTTGACGGTTCAACGGTTTCGTAGACGTAACCTCACTTTGCATATCAGTGATTTGTGGATTTGTGCAATTATATTTTACTTTTTGTTTTTTCCTTTAAAATGGGCAGCCAAGTTTGTTTACCAAAACTTTATTAGGTTATGTTCATTAGGCCGCAAATGCTACTTAATGGGTTGTATTTACGGACGTAAATAGAGATACGTAAATTAGGTTATAAATATGAACATAAAATACAACAAAATATAATTGGACGTTACTTTAGGGATTATCAGTGAGACGTATCCTATTCGGACAACGGGTAGACGTCGGGCTAGTTCAAGTATATGTACGTCGTGCAAGCCAACATGGGACCGACGCGACGTTGAGAAATTAATAAAAATGGTACGTTGTTATTTTGTACGTCGACAGATCTTTGGATTTACCGACTAGGATCCAACGACGTCGCTTTTAATAAGAAAGCGACGTGACCGGTCGTATCACCAGCACCCGACCTAAATTTGCACAAAGTCTGACGTCGCTTCAGGTCAGATTTAGTTTGAAGTCAGATAGATGCTGCTTGGGCCCAAGTAGCATTTGGACGTTATCTAACGTCGGGTATACGTCGCGTTCAATAAACCCGACGTCGGGTACCAACATCGGTTCGACCGCCTGACGACCCTTATTTGCACCTAAATGGGGAATACAGATTCTGGTCGCCTCGACGTCGGTATCTGACCTAATAGGGAATGTAATCCTACCAATTACCAACGTCATATTACGTTGGATTTTAGTTACTAAAATTCGTCGCTAAGCACTTACGTTACGTTTGGTTTCATATTCGCCAGCAAGAATACATAAAAACCTAACCAAACTACCTAATTACAAATGGATTCATAATCACTCCTCGAATATAACTATAAGTGCCTATCTAATTTCATATTATAATAATTCTGAATCATTAATCCAGACATCAGTTTTGTCAACGGAAGTCACTTTTTTGATATATCTGATTAAAATACTCCGGAAAACAACGAGCGCCTTCAAAATTAGGTAGATTTATGAAATAAAAATATCTATAAAAAAGTAACTCGCAAAATATTTTTTTAATTTTCTAGCTAGTTTAATCATAAAACTGTACTGTGGTTCTCCCCAAACTCAACCTTATCAATATTATTCTACTAGAAATCGAAATGTGAATATAAATTTTAAAAACAGAAAACGATTTTAAAATGGCTGACTATCTGATACTTGTTAAGAATGGCTGATTTCTGTGTCCGACTTAATATGAACTACCAATATACCAATTCCGACCGGGTCTCCAACATTAGTCGTCTCACACGACCGAAGTCATCAAACCGGACGACCGGCAATCGTATTATGACGTATATAATTCCAACGTACGCCACGTACCAGTGATTTGCGTATCAGTGATTTGTGGATTTGTGCAACTATATTTTAGTTTTTGTTTTCTCCTTAAAAAAATGGGCAGCCACTTTTTTAAGCCTAACCTCACATGTGGGAGGAGGATGGGGTCTGCTGGTTTCCTAAGCTAAAAAATGAAATTAAGATGCACCAGTGTAATGCAGCATCTCTTCCGGATAAAAAGCATTTATGGGTAGAGGCAAGACATCACTACTACTATTATTATTTTGCAAAAGCTTCGACCTCTTTCTGTAAAATGTAGATGAATGTCTAAATGCCTTTTTAGTGTTTTTTAGGCGTAAATTAAGTATGTTTACTTTTGTAAAAACTTTTTATTAGGTTATATTCATGATGTTCATTAGGTCGCAAATACTACTTAATGGGTTGTATTTACGGACGTAAATAGAGATACGTAAATTAGGTTATCAATATGAACATAAAATACAACAAAATATAATTGGACGTTACTTTCGGGATTATCAGTGAGACGTATCCTATTCGAACAACGGGTAGACGTCGGGCTAGTTCAAGTATATGTACGTCGTGTAAGCCAGCGTGGGAACGACGTTGAGAAATTAATAAAAATGGTACGTTGTTATTTTGTACGTCGACAGATCGTTGGATTTACCGACTCGGATCCAACGACGTCGCTTTTAATAGGAAAGCGACGTCACCGGTCGCCCGACCTAAATTTGCACAAAGTCTGACTTCGCTTCAGGTCAGATTTAGTTCGAAGTCAGATAGATGCTACTTGGGATTAGACGATCAAATCTATTTTTCCAAGGCTCCTTGATTAGGAATTAGTGTTTTTAACATAGCCATGGCACTCTAAATTGAAATTTAAAATTCAATTTCGTTTTAAGCGAAAATGTCAAAAGTTGACATATGATATGTCATTATATTCAGAATGTCATTTTCTATCGAATAAAGTAAAAAAATACCGAGGGTGCCATTTAAAAATCAAAAGTTGTAGTCATTTCCGGTGAAACAGGAAGTGACCAAAAACAATTGAATACGTCAATCAATCCTAATTTATGTCATATACCAACATACCAATCTCGTTTTTTTATCTGAAGAAATATAAAAATAAATATAATAATAAAAAAGTTATAGGGGTGAGTTTGAGACGAACGATAGAAATATTAAAGGTATTTTTAATCGACATATCTCGTTGTGAAACAATCTATATATTCTATATATAGATTCTCTATATATTGTTGTTTTTTATAAACTTCTAATGCACACTCAGCCTGTATATCGACTGTAACATATCGCTATGGTGATTTTTATACAATAGACAGAAAAATATAATCATATTGTTATACAGAGTCAGTTTTTGTTTTAGGAGCCTCAATTATAGAAACAGTAATGGCGGAGAAGAAGGAACAGATAAAAAAACAAAATAAAAGTATAAAGGACAATATGGATTTCAAAATGAAAAAAATTCGTCTAAATGCAAAAAATATAGCAGGTACGGTTTATCATAGAAAATGCTATAATTGTGAAAGAGGGTATATTTTCCTAACAAATAAAATTTAAATAAAATTAAAAAATAAGAATATTCGAAATACTTCCAGAGCCCAAATCATTGCGCTAAGCGCTTTGAAAACGGTTGCCTTAAAGAATCATTTTGCTTGTCGAACTGTCAGTGAAAATCGAAAAAATTGTGATTTTGTGCGTTACCTTGCTCTTTAATGAAAATTACTATTTCTTCTATAAATTCCTGAATAAGTAATTGATAATTTACGACTTGTCAGCTATAAATATTGTTCAAAACATCGAAAATGCTGAGAAGCGTTTTTAACATTTCCCTCGTATAATAAGAATAATGACATATCCATAGAAAAATAGGTTGACAACAATAGGTTATGAAATTCACGTAACATTGACATTTTTCATTGTTTTATTCACATTTGACTATTAGATATCTGCGAAATAGCGATGCTGACAATACGTGCTCAACGCGTATCCAGAAAACGATTCGCACGGCAACGAGAATACCAAAATCGACTGCTTGGCGTTCCGCTAGTCGCATACTTTCGCTCACCGCTTTGAAAGCGTAACGTTCTTATATCAAAGTTACAGAATTCGGGCCCAGAAGTGTTCCGCGAAATATTTTGTGAGTACTGGTAGAGTACATATATGCAATACTAATTAAACTTTTAGTTACGTAATCGGGGGCGCGATTTTTAAATTCATTGTTGCTAACCATGGCCATATTCGGCACCGGGCTGACTGACAGTCCAAATTTTCTAATAAGTTGCGATGAGATTTTTGAAAAGAACAATGTTCGACTGCAGGATCTGCTAGTAAACATTTTTAAACTTAAAGTATCACAACACTATTTATTTAATCCAAAAACTCATAATACAAAACTAAAGTGTCAAAACGAAGACAATATCGGGAAATAAATAAATAAATGTGGCAACTTACTTAACATTTTTTATAGCAGAGCTACCACCTGAAACCCCTGCGAGAAATATTTAAATTCCAATTAGTCAGCCTGACGCCAAATGTGTCCATGGTTGGCAATAATGAATTTAAATATCGCGCCTTCGATTACGTAACTAAAAGTTTAATAGGTATTAAATATACAGGGTGTCCCAGAAATAAGTGCAAATATTTTAACTGGTAGTATAGTTCAACCCCAGAAACACACCTATGAGGTTTTTTTGCGAAAAAAAAATGTTGAAAATTTAAAATTTTTCTTCACATTTTCCGGAAAATTTGAAAAAACTTTTTAGTGCCACTTGTTTATTCACCTGAGATTTCTCTACGGTGTATCTATTATTAGTATATTATTATCCACATTCTACATAGTTCTACATTTATAAATTCATAGACAAATTTCTACTCAAAAAATTAGGAATGATAAATTTAATCTTTTATCAGTGCTCATTATTAATAATTATAGAAAAAAAAAACACATTAATTATTTTTAGAACTTACCCTTTCAATGAAAACTTAACAAAAATCACCGAAAATTAACTAAAACATTACGTTTATGACGTTTACGAAAATCTTTATTATATTGCAAAATAACTTTATTTTGGAATAAATTTAAATAAAATGATTCTTCATATTATTCACAATCAAGTCACAAAAAAGAAATTCCTAAAATGTTTATCGTAATTTAGAATTCAATATATCGAAAACAGCCCAACGAATAATCGATTCATTTTTGTTTTGTTTGTTTTCTTTCATGTTTCTCTGTTTTATTTGAACCACTGATTTACAAAACACCTTGAAAAGCGCACATTACTTTGAATACCTTTCTGAATGAATAAATGTTGAGAATTATTATCTCTTATCGCCACTTTACGAACTACTTTCAATCTAAGAAAATACATGTTTCACTCAACAATTTTAAATACGTATTTTGTTTTTTCGCTATTCTTTGGATGGTTTTCGACAATTCCATCGACAACCGAACCGTCTGCCAAGAGTGCCGCGGTCAACGGTCAACTGCACCTTTGAGGCGCCGCGCCGTCGTGGCGGGCTTGCGTCATACGATGTTAAGCAACGTTGCCGTAGTTTCAACAATTTCAAATTCACGACACTCGAAGCAATCAAATTCGTATTAAGTTTTAAAAATAAAACAGAGAAACATGAAAGGAAACAAACAAAACAAAAATGAATTGATTATTCGTCGGGCTGTTTTCGATATATTGAATTCTGAATTACGATAAACATTTTAGAAATTTCTTTTTTGTGACCTTATCAATAATCAATTCATTTGTGTTTTGTTTGTTTCGTTTCATGTTTTTCTGTTTTATTTTTAAAATTTAATAAGAATTTGATTGCTTCAAGTGTCTTGAATTTGAAATTGTTGAAACTGCGGCAACTTTGCTTAACATCGTATGACGCAACCCCGCCACGACAGCGCGGTGCCTCAAAGGAGCAGTGTGGGAGCAGTTGACCGCGGCACTCTTGGCAGACGGTTCGGCTGTAGATGGAATTGTCGAAATACATCGAAAAAATAGCGAAAAAACAAAATACGTATTTAAGATTGTTGAGTGAAACATGTATTTTCTTAGACTGAAAGTAGTTCGTAAAGTGACAATAAGAGACAATAATTCTCAAATAACTCTTCTCTCAAATAACATTTATTCATTCAGAAAGGTATTCAAAGTAATGTGCGTTTTTCAAGGTGTTTTGTAAATCAGTGGTTCAAATTGTGATTAAGCCTATATGTAAAGAATGTGTTAGAAATGGGGACTGTTATTTTAGCAGTTGTTATAATAGCATGTACAAGTAAAGCAGCACAGTGAAGTGTATTTTAATTAAGTGTGTATCAAAAAAGAGAACTGTCACAGTTACATCGATCTGTCATAAGTATCTTTTTTTAATGTTGGGTAAGTTTTTTTTATTTGTTTTCTGTAATAATATCACAATATTAAAAATATAATGCATCTCTGCAATCTCTGCCAAACTCCTCAGTTGGTGTGAGGTGTGATTTTATGACTTTTTTTAAGCATATACTTTCTTGTCCATATGGCAACACAGGGCGTCCACATACCTGAGATGCAGGCTTGATTCGGGTAATTGGAGGTAACCGGCGATATCTGCCGGCGGTTCTCAAAATGTTGCTATTATTTTTTTAAAATTTCAAAGTTAAATAACTCGGTTATTTTCAATTTATTTTAAAAATGGTAAAGAGAAAATATGTTTATTTTGACCAGATCTACCACCCCTTAAAATATCTGCACTTATTTCTGGGACACCCTGTATGTATGTATATCCTTACGCGTACTAGTCTACAGAATCTGTAGACTAAATGAATAAGAGATTTTTTAGAACTGTAATAATAATAGTCATTATTTATTATTGAAAAGCTATTAGAGGAGGTGACTACCGCTCGTTTGATCAAACAGAACGTAATCTTAATATCCCCCTACTACCACAAACTGGTCCTAACGTAGATCCTGATTTTGACCCGACAGATCCAATGGCTTGTTCTGAGGTAATTTAATAATACGTACTCTTCGCAGTTTTTTTCTTGCAGTGGTGTACTCTATACAAAGCGTAGGCGATCTCTTAGCATACCAGGTGGTGCATCAGCGTTGAAAACCGGAAAACCCGTAAAAATTTTGAACTAAAGCAAAATTAAACCAACTTTCGTTGCACGTCATCAATGACACCACAGATTAGGTATACTATAAGTATACAGATAAAAATCTTGTCCCTAATTCGTGGTACGAAAATTGTTTTTTATGACGATGTGCAAACGAGTAAAATTTCCTGTGCGCAAAAATAAACTCGCGTATAATAACAATAAACAGCGTAATAGAGAGATATCGCTAAACCGAATAGCGTGCATGGACGTTAATAAGGCCAGGTGATATTTCCTTTACGTAAGGTGGTATTAACTCTCTTCATTTATAGTTATCGGATCGGAAAGAATTCTGTTCGCGTCGCGTCCGCTGTTTAAACTTAACCTAACTTTGAAATTGTTTTGTTTATTAGGTATTTTAAAACTAAAAAGCTAAAGTGCTTATTTCCAGTGCTTTATTGTTCAACGTCTGCCAGTGAGTTTAGGGCAACAAGTAACGAATTCCCTTAGAAGGGCTAAGTCGTCATCTGCTGTAAACCTAAGCCTCTTTATAGGTTCTTTAATATTGGAAGAGGTGAAATCCATATTTTGGGCCATATTTATTTACTTAAAACTAATCCCAGCTACTTACATATCAAATTACCTAATAAAACTAAAGTAATAATTCAAAACAATTCAAACACAACCTAAAATAAAAGATCTCGCCGGCCGGCCCCGATTGTCAAATACCCGCACATGCCCATTTGAGCAATTTTTAAACATTATTTAGAAATAGCGCTTGGTGTAATTGATCCGCAAATTACGTCAGGCGGTAACGTTATTAGCGGTGTTGCGTTAAAAATTGACTCGCACATATCGTAACCATGACGCTATTCGGTTTTCCGATATCTCTCTAATAACTGTGCCGGTCAGGCGCTGTGCACAATTTTAGAGGCCATAAGTGGGCGTGCTATGTGCGCAAACTAGTAACCTAACTAGTACCCGATTCCGAAAATTGGAACCACGAAAAACAATAAAGAAAAAACAAAGTTTATAATCTGTATGATATATGATGACACCATGCGTCGTCTTATGTTATATTAATTTAATTACCAAAGTTAAATTAATTTCCCTATATCTAAATATTGGCTGATGATTACTGAGTTGATTGCTTTTAATCCTGCTTGACTATCGGATAAGATGGATATTTCTTGTTTCCGATAGTTCCTATCTAAGATAAGTTGTAAGCATCTTTCGATAGTGTAGATTTCTGCTTGAAGTATGTTCATTGGTTAGGAGTATTTATTTTTTGGCCCAAATTCTCCGATCCCTTCCTGTTTTGGTTTTGGAAGCATCAGTATACCACGTTATGGTATGGTCTTTTACCTGTTACACAAACGTTTCTCTCTTACAATCTTGTTTATTGCTCAATACTACAGTGTATAATAAAAAAGTTATAAAAGTTTCTCAGAAGCGGCCCTTTTGAGAAACACCCAGTATATAAAGAGATAAAGTTTGTCCAGCATTTTGAAGTACTAAATGTTAAAAATATAATAGTTACTTAATTTAGACTGTGACTATACCATACATCTGAGCTAATTTGTAATTACATCTTCTTTAAAAAATATTACTATAATTAAATAAAAATAATACTAAAAGGGAGTCCCGTTTTCATAGAATTTTAATCTTTTTTGTACTAATTCTATTTGTCTGGATAAAATATAAAATAATTATTAACAGGTGTATCACAAAAAATATTAATCGTTAGTAATAAAAAATATAGCAGGTCATTAACAAACTCTTGGGAATTCCATCGTAAAAAAGAGAACAATGTGAAGTAATTGTTTTTAAGTTTTATTTTATTATTCTATCGTCATAAGCAATTTAATTATATCCGGCAAAGATGCATTAATTCGGTATCAAAAGAAGATAGATACATAATATAGCGTATTTTTAATATATCGTATGAACTAAGAAAACACAGCGCTTGTGTGGGAAAATGCTAGTTATATTCACTATAAAAAAGAATTCATATGAAAAGTCATTAAACAAAATACATAGTCTTTGAGTTGCTAATATAATTTTGGATTTAAGAAATGTATTGTGAGGCCTCTTGAGCTGAAAATATTTATAAAATTTGTCTAACATTATTTGTAAACCAGCCCAGGTTGATTTATTATTAGTTACACCCCTGGGACTTCAAGGGCTATTGTGGCTCAGTTCTACCAATAATTATTAAATTTGACCCTCAAGATCCAATCTTTTAATAAAAGTGGTTATATTCGAGGGTGATACCTATCCAAGGTCTGATAAGTCCACCATTGTATTGCCAAACAACTCAAACCTGGTCATAGACACGCTCCCAGCAGAGCAGGTACACAAACGTGCTTCATAGTTTTATAGTGAGTATATACCTATCCAAAAAATCCTTTATGGGTATTTCGCCACTGCACTGCAAGAAAAATCTATAAAATAAAATAGTTCTTTTTTGTAAACACTTCTGCGTTAAACCTAAACGGACGCTGCTTGTCAGAAGTTGTGTTTACAGTAATAAAAATTTGCCTAACAAAGAAAAATATGCTTAACGTTCCGGAAAGTTTTCTCTTTCCGTCGTCGGAAGCAAAAAAAAATATAAAGAATCAAGAAAAAAACAATTTAAAATATTTAAATTGAACTATTCGAGAACACTTTACTTTTTAAAACAGATACGTCTACAAGAAATCGTTGACGTTCTGTTAAAATGACATTATATTAAGTTAAACTTCAAAATTAACAATTACTACCTGATAACAATTACTTAATAAGGTAAAACCAAAAAGCCCAAACTTTCTGTATGATTATTTTTAAATTTTACGTATGTTATGTTTATTTATGTTATGTTCTTTAAAATCAAAGAAGCGATTGCCATACATTACTAACATCTACAGATGCATGAGCAATACATTTATTTTTATTAGATTGAATTAAAAAAGCCTCTTTTATTTTTCTTTTAGAGGCTATCGCTTCTTTCATTATAATTTTGGCGTTATTAAAATTTATTCTGTGTCCCAAGAATGCTGACAAATCTTAGATTTGTGAAAATCTCCCTTTCTTAAATAATCTTTATGTTCTTTAATTCTGACATTTAAGGGTCTAGATATTTCACCAATGTAAAATTTATCGCATTCACAGGGTATTTGGTATATTACATTTTTTGTTTGTTGTTCTGTATTGATTGGTTTAGTATGTGATAAAATGGATCTAAGTGTATTTTGTGTTTTGAAAGATGTTCGTATGTTATATTGTTTTCCTATCCTTCTTATTTTTCCGAAACGCCTCGTGTGTATGGAATTGTAAGTTGTATATATATTGTGTATTGTTATCATTGTGTCTATGATTTGGGGCTTGTATTTCGTTTAATGTTTTGTCAATAAAATATGGTGGATAGTCGTTTTTGATTAATGTATTTTTTATGTGGTTTATATCTCTATTTAGTGAAATGTCGTCTGTACATATTATTTTTGCCCTATCATATAAACTTTTTATAACACCTTTTTTTACACTTATACTGTGATTAGATGTGAAATTTAAGTATCTATCTGTGTTTGTGGGTTTTCTGTAAACATCTAAAATTAGTTTATTTTGAAACTTTGACACTAAAACATCAAGAAATGGCACAAACGATTACCTCTCTCTACTTCTAAAGTAAATTTTATGGTAGGTTCGCGAGAATTTATATAATTCAAAAAAATGTCTATTTCAGAAACGTTATGTTGCCATATTGCAAAAATATCATCAACATAACGCAGCCATATTACAGGCTTTTTTGAAAAACTATTTATTGTATTATTTTCAAAATCTTCCATAAAAATATTACTTAACAAAGGAGAGAGAGGTGATCCCATTGCCATACCGAAATCTTGTTGAAAAAAATCATTATTTAATTGGAAATAAGTAGTTTTAACACAAAGTGTCAACAATTCCAAAATACTATCTATGTTTAATTTTGTTCTATCTATTAAATGTGTATCTTGTTCTAATCTATCCCTAACTATTTTAAGTCATTTATCTACCGGCACGTTAGTGAAAAGACTAACAACGTCAAAACTAACCATTAAACTGTTAGGTGTTATATTAATTTTTGAAATTTTTTCTATAAAGTGTGGTGTGTTTTTAATGTATGAATCGGTGTTATTTGCAATCGGATTTAATATGTCTAGTAAAAATTTTGCCAACGGATGGCATGGAGAATTTATACTACTGACTATAGGTCTAAAAGGTATACCCTGTTTGTGTATTTTAGGTAAACCGTATAAATGAGGTGGTTTACTGTAATGGGGTGTTAATAATGTTCGTTGTAAGTCTGTTAATATATGTTTGTATTTGTATAAAGTTCTGTATATTTTTCTTTCAATAGTTGGTGTTGGGTCTTTTGAAAGTTTTGTGTAACTACCGTTATTTATAAGATCTGTAATTTTATTATTATATTCGTCTAAATCTATAACTACTTTAGCATTACCTTTATCTGCTTATAATATTTTAATTGTTTTGTCTGTTTTTAAATTTTTAATAGTTAACCTTTCTTCTCTATTAATATTAGGTTTAAATTTAATAGGTCTTTCTAGAATAATTTTTGACCTAACACGATATTCATCCGCGTGTTCTAAAGGTAATTTTTGTGCTATATTTTCAATAGCAGAAGTCAAATCTAATTTTGAAACGTTTTTATCAGTTACGCTAAAATTTAAACCTTTTGATAAAACTGATTTTTCAGAATTAGATAAAACTCTTTTAGAAAGGTTAACTACGGTTTTGTTAATAAATTCGTGTTTATTTGTAATGTTTTGATTTATATTTCTTTCATTAATCATGTGTGTAAATTTAGTAATATGTTTTTGTTTTTGTATATTAGAATGATACATATAGCTATTGTGTACGCTATTTAAAATGTG